AGTGTAACCATGTATAATTTTAAAATTTTAATCAGAACTAGTTGAAGTTTGTATATAAAAACTGCCAGTTATTATTATTTTTTTATGCTTAAAAATAACTTTATATGTTAAAGGTATTTTAATGCTTAATGTAAGTAATTCTATAAAAAATTTATATTTTTAATCAGAACTATTTAAAATTTGGGCACATAAGCCATGGTTTAACACTAATTTAACTACAATTGAAAAGCATAATTAAAAAATATATAATTACATGCCATTGTTCCCAAATGGGAATATGCTGAAACTCATTGACAAAAAAATTTTTTTTCATGAATTTCTTTTTCTATAGTTCTTATAACTTGTTTTAATGTCATTTTTTGAGTAAATAATACTTATTAATCTTTAGCACAGTGTTTAAAAGGTTAATGTATACAGCTGGAGGTATGCTAGTCCTGAAAAGGGTCTGAAGTACTGAATGTAATTTAATTATTGAATGATGTAATGCTCCAATAATAGGATTGCTATTTTCTTTTGATGTGTGTCAAGGTGACACTGATGAGTTGACACTTTTTGAAGGCTTAGCAAGCATATTATTCACCCTTTTTTAAAAATTATGTTTTTGTACAAAGCCTAGGAATATTCTGCATTTGTCTGGGAATGCTTTGTTGATGTGCTGTGTATATATCCATGTTTGTTGCATATTTAGAAAAAGAGCAAACATTTTTAATTGTGTGTCAGTGGTGACAGGAGGCATATTTTGGCCACCTTATGCACCTAGCTGCATATCTTGGTAACATAATGCCTTTTACCGGGTTCCAGTTTATGCATTAATTGACTGATTGAGTGAGGTTTATGCATAAGCTGCTTGTTGGATTAGTGAAAAAGCAAATGGAGCAAAGTGAAATTTGGCATGAAACTTTCATGTAAACCTTCCAAATGTATAACCAAGTGGTGACTGCATGAACCAAAGACATTATTGTGAATGGTTTCGGCATTAAGTTCGGTTACTCAGGATCAAAGGGCTGAATGAACTTCCATGTCAGCAGATGTTCAAATGTTTAGAGTGCACTATGAGTTTGTATCACCTGCTAAGACAGTAAGATAGAAAGTCTGCCAGAGAATTCTAATGCGGTTGAGAGATGTTGTGTGTAGGAAAAGATGGGGGAGGATCAGTCGTGAATGTTGCATCATGACATCCCTCCTTGTACCAGTTATCTGATAAAATGTCACACTTCTGTTGTGTACCCCATTTACCATATTCTTTAAAGTTTGTCCTTTTTTTTTTTTATTTGTTTGTTTCCAAACTTAAGGGCTGTTTGAAAGGATGTGGTTTCCAGCCCATAAAGGAAATTCCAGAAAATTCTATGAAAGTTCTGCCCACTATTGAAAAAAGGGATTCTCATCAGATCTTCGAAAAGTGGAAGAACAATGGCAACAGTGTATTGACACTAGAAGGGGCATACTTTGAAGATAGTAATTAAAGTTTTGTGCAATGAACAATTAAGCAAGAAACCTAAATTATTATATAATATAGTTGATACTTTAGAAGTGACACAAGCAAAATTATTATATAATATAGTTGATACTTTAGAAGTGACACAAGCAAAATTATTAATGCTATTTGCTTTGGGGGGAACAAAAAATATGTTAAAAAATTATTTCTTAAAATAATGTAAATAATATAATCTTCCTCCTCCCTCCAAAAAAATCTTTAACTTAGCTGCAGTGCCTAAATATATCTGTGTTGGTAGTAAATAAAATATTAACAAAAATTTGTCTTGAGGAAGCTAAATAGCAAATTTTTTGCCTAGGCATATGACTGAATTCATATTGTACAGCATTCTCTCCAAATCATTTAGTCAGGAATATATGAAGATTGTTATGTTGTCTTTTTTATGATGGATGGATTTATCTGATTAATTTAAATGGTTTTTATAAAAAATATTGATATACTATATGAAAATTGGAGAAGGAAATGCAAACTTGGTTTCAGGAGGTTAGAGACAGTTCACAATTGTTTCCACTTTTCATGCATTAAAAATTAGGTAAAAAGAAATTCAAAATTAACTCATTGTATTACCAGAATAATGTTTTAATTCTTTCTGAATGGCATGGAGTTTTATTAAGAAAGCCCAAATTTTCCCAAACTGCCATATAAGAGGCATTTTCTAGATTTGAATTCTCAAATGCCCTGGGTACTTTATACCTGGATTTATGTACTTTTGATATATTGCCTTAACACTAGAATTACGGAAGGGGTCATTTTGACACCTAGCGAACTTTTATCTCTGACAGCTCTTTTTTTTTTTTTTTTCAAATATCTTAATCATTTCTCAACTTTTCCTAAATCATTGCGATTTACGAAATAGTAAAGATTTCAAGAAAATCATATTTTTATTTTAGCCCTAACAAATGATTATACCTAGAAATACGGCAGGTGTCATTTTGACTCCTTTAAGAGAAAAGAAATGTGAATACATTCCATTGTATTATCTGAACACTGTTACTTCTGTGTAAACTATTTTTATTTGCACCTGCTAAAAAAAATACAAACAAAGGAAAAGAATATAGTGGGTGTGCATAGTTTCACATCTGCCAGTTACATGATTTGAAATATGTGCAATACTTTTCTTTGTGGAAAGAAAACAGAGAAAAGATATTATTACGAGCTGAACGTTTGTAGATTTTTCCGTAGATATTTTGTTTATTATTCATAACAAGTTTTAGTGGAAAATTTTATTCTATTTACATGAATTTATTATAGTGATGTACTAACGGTGCATAGAAAAGGACTAACACATGAAGAAATTGTGAAACTGGTGCAGGAACTATCTGATGCCAATTCCGGTTCTGAAATCGAAAATAATTCTACAGATAAAGATGGAGATGAAACATCTTGTGATTCTGACTTCTTGTGATTGTGATTTTTTTCTTCAGTTCTGATGAAATACGACTATATAACACTTACATCATATCAAGGTAAAAGGAACAAAAACGTAATTTTGTTAAGTACACTCCATTCATCAGTTGAATTTGAATGTAATGAAAAGGTTTCGGATGTAATACAGTTTTACAATTCTACAAAATTCAGGGTAAATGGCAAGAAAGTACTCTATGAAAGCACCATAACACTGTTGGCCAGTACATGTATTCTACAATATTTTGGACTTAGCATGCATAAATGCGTGGATTATGTATAAAGAAGTTACGAAAGAAAATATCAGCAGAAGGGATTTTCTATTGCGTTTGGCAGAAGAACTAAGAGAAGAATATATATCTAGTAAAAACAAATTTTTTTTTTTTTTTTTGTTCAAGTGGCTTTGTGGATGAACAAGATTCAATAGAATAAAAAAAAAAAAGGAAGAAATGTCAAGTAAGGAAATGCAAAGGTAACAAAACTTCTAATATTTGCGACAACTATAATAAATATGTATGCGGATATTATACACAAAAAATCGGAAAGATAAACGTGTGTGCTAATTGCTGCGCTGACTAATATATTATCTGTAAATAGAATATTTCTATATATTTCTATTTCTATGTACTCTTTATAACAAAAAGTTTGTTTTAAAATACTTTAATATTTGTATTAAAAACCACTTTTTTTTTTGGAAAAATTTGCGTAAATATTTATACATTTTATTTTCTGTGTCAAAATAATAATAATAATAATAATAATAATAATAATAAATTTTCCGATGAAAATATTTAAATGCTTGTTAATTATTTGACTGCATAACTGCAAAGTCTGTATATTCTTTAAAATAAACTGTACTTGTCATAATTTGTGTTATTTTAATTTCTTTTTCACAAATATATCATATATAGAAATATGCAGATATCTTATCAAGGGGTCAAAATGACACCCGCCATAATTCTAGGTATACGAAGAGCACCGTAATTCTAATGTTAATTTCTTCGAATATTTTAAGAAGCATGTATATATACGTTCGTAAAGTTGTCAAACCATGCCATTTTAGGAAAGTAAAAATTGCCATTTTTACAAAATTTTACACATTTGCAGCAGGAAAAAGAAACTATGGATATATTTCAAATTGAATCTTTTATATCAATTCTGATAAAGTACAAAGCAAATGCAGAGAAAAATTTGTTTATTTTATTATTAATTATTATATTATTAATATATATTTTATGAGTGTGAGGGGGCAGTTCATTGCTAGATTGTATTATAAACTTGGTATTCAATTCCAATCAGTTCCCAAATTATTATTTATTACTGTTACACTTATTGGTAGAGAAAAAGTTTCATTTTATTATTTGTGGTAAAGTGAGAAAATAATTGACATTTCATTTCAAATCCAGAAATAAAATTGTTGCCTGAATACGAATATTTTAAAATTCAAATATTAAAAAGATGAAAGAAAATTAACTGTGGAAAGGTAGAACATAGTGCAGTTAAAATTTTGATTTTCTGTATTTAAATTTATACAAACTGGTAAAAAAAGTTGCATGATCTTTCATAATCTTTTATTATGTTATTCTCAGATAATGTTATGAATGTCATATGAAAACTTGGCTCATTATCAGTAGAAATAATCTGATTTTTGGAAAAGAAAGTTTGTTGAATATAAAAACCAAAAGTGTTTGTCAAAATATCACCATTTTTATACAAGTCAAGAAATCTTGGTCAATATAGTAATAAGGATCATAGGATATCATAATATTTGTGTAATAAGTGTCATAGGATATCATAATATTTGTGTAATAAGTGTCATAGGCAATCATAATATTTTTTATTTGTGTAATAAGTATCATAATATATGTATTACATGTGTATAAGTTTCTTTTCTAAATGCTTAAATGTTATTTTCTTTATCAATTTTTAAACTTAATTTCAAATTCTTTATTCACAAAGCTTTATTCTTTGTAACATAATTTAATTTTTAAGAGATGGACAAATCTATTTGCTTGCAATAAATAAATAAAATATTTGTTAAACAAGAGCGCTAATTATTGTTTTAGAACAAAAAAATAAAATATTTAATTCTTTTTTTTAGATACTCCAGCTAGTGAAATTGAAGATACATTCAAAAATTTTTTGAAGAGAGATGACATAGATATTATTTTGATTAACCAAAATGTATGTATATATTTGAATTATTAAATATGAGTTTTTGCATGTGAAAATTGTATTTTGTTAATTAATTCTTTCAGCATTAATATTATTAAAATCTGTGTGCATCTGTTTATTTGTGGCATCATCATCTCCTGAATGGCGGGGAGTCGAGTTTTGAGAGTGGTACTCCATATTCCAAAAATTTATAGCAAGCCATTTTGCCATTCTCATCTTTGTATGACTTTAATCAGCTGAAATATTAATTAAAACTCTAAAAATACCAAATTTTGCACTTATTTTTTCGAATGGCAACAGTCTTGGAAGTCGCTGGAGATAAAGATGCTTTATTTTGAAAAGTGTTACTACTACTCACTTTTAGATCGTAGTGTTTGTTAATAAAAAATTTGTAAGTTTTACAAAACATAGAATAAAAATAGCATTGCCAAACATTAAATATGTTATTATTATAAAATGTCATATTCTGACGTTGAAGAAAGCATCTGATATCATTGTATATTGAAAATTTTTTCGTTAACGTCAGGATTTATATAAATAGCTGCTGTTGCCACCTTTTTTGTTTCAGATTAGAATAATTGACATGGTGTGTTATTGCCACATTAATTCTTTTATTGATATTGAGAAAAAGTTCTTATATTACATTAAATTTAAATCAGAATGTCATATGTATTAAGGTGAAGTGCCAAAAGTTTTTGTTTCCTGGTTTGGCAAAAAAAAAAAAAAAAAAAAATTGCAAATTGGTTGTTGCTTGGAAAGAATAAACTTATTTCATTCATATTGAAACATTTTTATGCATTTTCTTTTCAGTTGTAATTGAACTTAATAAATTTTGCTTTGGCCGCAGCCCACTAGTATTTATTAAGTTAGAGAAACTGATTTTGTATTTTGCTATTTAATCTTAAAAAAAAAAAGTTATCTTTTAAGAAATTATTATTTAAAACTTACAAAATTGCATTGTTTTGTATCTTTAAGTAATACATTTAAACTGAATTTGATATTCAGATTGCAGAAATGATTCGTTATGTGATAGATGGACATACAAAGCCTGTACCTGCAGTTTTGGAGATTCCCTCAAAAGACCATCCTTATGACCCTAACAAGGATTCAATTCTGAGAAGAGCAAAGGTTTGTTATTTCTTAACTGTGATTTTTATGCTTTTTCACTAAAAGTTCAAAATCAAGGTGGAAATATATATATTTAAACTAATTTAAATTTAAATTTTAACAAACACGTATAAAAGTAAAAAAGCAAATTTAAAGCCTAAAAAAAGAAAAAAAGCCAAAATAATTTTTTAAAAAATTTTAAAAAATGTGCAAACATATAAAAGATTTAATTCTTGAACTAATCTACAATATCATTTAAATTCAGAAGCATAAGCAAATCAAGTGCAAACCAATCCATGAAAATAAATTCACTAATTTAGCAAATTAAAATTAAACTTATATATATATATTACTATATAGCTTTCTAAAATACATATTGTAACTTATGTGGACATTAGAATAATCCAAACTTTCCTCTTGACAAGGCACCACTTAGCGTTAAATATAAATGTGGCTAACTAAATGGCCGGCTAACCAAACGATGCACGGAGCTTCACGAAATAAATCATTATTTATTCAATCCAGAATCTGCAGAAAATAAAGGACAAATATACAATAGATTAATTTGAGATTATACAGGAGCATGTAACTGCTGATTTCATTTAACATTTCCCAAAACATTTGCATCTTTTTGTGCAGGTGCCACCATATGACTTTGATAATTTGATCTAGATGGTGGCAGCCAGACCTGAAAAAAACCTGAAAGATGTATGTGTGATGCTCTTCTTATAGTCATTCATTTGACATTTTCCACAGGCTTTCGAACAGAGGTATACTGAATTGACATAAAGTCTGTGTCTCTTTGAAAACATAAACTTTTAAAGGAGTCTCGAAGAATTATCTTCTAGCCTTGTGAAACTAAATAAAGATCAGAAGAAGGGGTATAAGACCCTTTTATTTAAGTATAAAATAAACAAATGACCCAACTTGGGTTACAGGAAGCCAGCATTTATGTCTTAACAGAAATACGTAATGAATAATAATTTTGAGGTATGGTAGATTAGCCTAACAGCTCACAGAATGTGCAAGAAGAGCTCTGGTTTCTAGTAAACCGGCGAGACAAGCCAAATTGCGAGAACACATCAACGCTGCTAATGCAAGTTGCTGATAATCACAGCACAATGGTGCCTGGAATAGGTAGACACGCTCTAAAAATAACTTCCGAAACTTGCTTAAATAGTACTTCATTCTACCTTAATCTGAGTAAACTATCACTATCTCATTTACATTGTGGCATGAAAAGCATGTGTGAAAAGAGAGTAATAGGAATGTCGAACTTAAAAGGAACTATTAGTTAAAAATAGATAGATAAACCTCACACTTGAATATAAATTTTCCAGAAAGTTGAGAATTGCTAAAAATTAAACTCACTTTTAAACATGAGAGATAAACATTCTTTCCTTCCCCCTTTTTTTATGTCAATCAGACATTCACTTGTTTAATTGCTTTGTTAACAAATAGCAGGTCTCTCTTTCTGGCATTTTTCCAACAAGAGCTGTCTATGAACTGTACAAGAACTACAACTTCATTTTCTTAATTTGGAGTAAATTTGCATTTTAAAGGAATTGGTTATTTAAATCAATTCTGGAGTGGATCATCTATTTCTATTTCCCACAAAAGCAGGCTAGTTCAAAGCCTCCCTTTTTTTTTTTTCTATTTCTCAAAACGATAAATTTTTGAGTTTCTATCTTATCTGTTTTTTAAAGTTTTTGTCTCCATTTTTTACTCCATGATGATAATCTATTACAATTTCTACTTTGAATAAATGGGACATGCAATCATATTGCTTTGTTTTGCTGGAACCACACATAACAATGGAAATTGAATCTCATGGAATATTTGCAGATGTCTGTGTACTACTCAGCATTTACTTTTTCTAACCCTCATGTCACCTTGTTTCTATCTAATCATCATGTTAAAAAAATTTGGAACTGCTTTTAGTTTTATCATATACTGATATTTGTAGAACAGATGAACAGTGTCTTCTGTATATTATCAGAATGGAGAATTGTGAAATTTGTAAACCAAAAAAATAGAGGAAGAAATGCTGTCACATACTGTTGCTTTTGCACTAAACATAGGATGCTTTGTCAGTTCACATACAATGTTTGCAGCCCATGAAGGACAGTTCTGTTTATTTACATACCCAGACAAGTGGAAATTGGCCTCATCTGATGTCAGTAACCTGTTTCCAATGTCATGTTCAACTTGCAGATGCTCCAAGAAATTATTGCAAAGTTGAAATTGCTTTGTCGTGTCCCATTCAGTAAGCTTATGGACTACTTGGATCTTGTAAGGATGCTAGTGAAGATCTCTTTGTGCAGGATTCAATGAACACTGGTATTTGGCAACCCAAGTGCAATACCTTGCCACTGAGCCAACTACTGAGGACTACTCAAGATTGCAACATGAACACAGTTTGCATCTTCTAGAATATAAACTCAAACATGATATTCTGCAAGTTTTCTTTCACAGATCTGTCTTGATGTCATTTCGATATCCATAGCAACAGAGTATTGCAACTAGGAGTATCATGTTGACCAAACTTGTGTCAAAAGTTCCGTTTTACATTTGTGATAGACTATGTCTGCGTCTACCGCTGCAATGTTAGTATTGCACAGACCAATACTCTATTTCATCTAAACTTCAGAAGACAATGACCATAGTATCATGTAGCATTACAGTGATGCCTAGTGGGTGTCCTGGAAATAAAAGAATAAAGATTGTTAGGTGTTTCTGGTTCACCCTCTCTATATATAGGTAGTCGGGCACATGAATAAAGCTTGGCAATCTGGTCACTTCAGAGTCCAGGTGTAGTCGTTGTGAAGTGGAAGGCAGCTGAATTGAAGACACAGACGAATTTCATTTAAAAAAAAAAAAAAAAAAAAAAAAACTCCATATCTTTATTGACTTAAAATGGCATGTTCTTTTATATTCTCCAAAATTACATATCCAATAATGATTTAAATATGAATAAGATTAAAGTTAAGCTTTCAATGTCATAATGATTCTAACAAAGGTAAGAAGAAGGAATGGAGCAGCATAAGGTCTTATAGCAGCGATGGTAGGGAGCATTTTGACGAACAAAAAATGGTATAAACTCTGCATTTATAATTGCGATTACATAACATGCCAGAATGTTCTCGAAAGTACTGGTGTAGAGGGAAGATCCTAAAATTGCAGAAAGGTAATTAGAGGTTGCCTGTTCGCGTAGAGCAAAGCCATCGTATTTTTTATATTTTACACACACATATATATATGTGTGTAAAATATATATGTATATATGTGTGTGTATCTTTTTGAAAAGTCAAAATTTTTACCAAAAAGTTAAAAACAGTAAAATTTAAATCAAGAATTATAAATAATTAAAAGTTCATGTTAACATATTGAGCACCACCAAATTAAATAAAGTTGTTGTTTTTCATAGCTATTAATTTTTTTTATTAATACATTCTATATGTACCCTAATGTCAAGTAATATATTTTTTAAACTTAATATTGTATCTACTTTTTAAACCATAATTAATTTGTATTCATTTGGATACATAATGTTCATGTGAAACATCTCATATCAGGTACAATTTTATCAATTCATAGCTTTTCTGTTCACCTACTAATAAATAATACTATTCACTCTTCTCTTTAGAAATATAATCGTTCTGTCACCTCTGTAATTAGTAGTGTAGCTGCCCTTCAAAAACAAGTAGTATAATTTAGATGTAACCATATGTTATTGTGGCTATATGTTGTAATAATTATATTAACTGAATACTTTTCAATCCATTGAGCAGCGAACCTTGCATGCTTTGCCATATTACTTAATGCAATCTAACCTAGCCTTTTCCATTCAGTGCCATCAATTTTATTTGAAGCCCTCAGTTTTATTGGGCCATATAAAAAGTCTCTGCGCTTTTTTGGTACATTTTTGAACAAAATTTTCTTTATTGAAAATCAATTAAGTACATAATTGACCATTATTATATATGAACTTTTGCAATTTTTCGGGTAGCTTCATAATTCCATTGTTGTAGAACTTCTGTGGTTTATCATCGAAAAATTTGGACAAATAATTTTCTGCAGCACTTCGATTGGCCAATTTTTAACCATTAAGAGAGAGTTTTGCAGAGACCGAAGCAAATGGAAGTTGGACAGTGCAAGGTCCGGTCTTTATAGTGGATGCATCAAAAATTCCCAACCAAGTTCCGTCAATTTGTTCCAAATCATTAAATATGTGTGTGGCTGTGCCTAGTCGTGATAGTCTAATTCTGGTCGCTCTTTCTGGATTGTTTCATTCAAACGGTCGAGATGTGCACAGATTCCATTGTGTTTCAGCAGTATTTCACGGATGGTAATTTGGTCAATCAAATTTTTTTGCGTTAATTCATGTGGCACTCCACCGGTTGCAAAATCTCATCAACTTTTTCAGTGACTGACCGACCAGAGCGAGGTGCATCTTTGACATCGAAATTTCCAGAATGAAATCAAGCAAACTACTCCTGGGTCCTTCATTTATTCACAGCATTCTCACCATACACCTCATAAATTTTTCGGCATGTTTTTGCAGTGTTTTTACCTTTTTTATAGTAAAAAAGCATCACATAGCATATTTCTTCAGATATTTTCACTGATTTAAAATCAATATAACTTTTTACATGAGTAGCAAATTAGAAAACTATGAATGTCACCTTTTAAGGACATGTTCATTTGAGACAATCGGGTGAGTGTTGCCGGATATATAGGCATCAACACCATCTAATGACAAAAAAACGCCAAGACTTTTTATATGACCCAATATTTCAAAAGCCCCTGAATTTATTTAATTCAATTTAATTCAGAGCTCCCTAATTTTATTTTGAAAGACCACAGGAATAAAATTTGTTACAAATGATACATTAATGTAATTTTTTTTTTTTTTTTGCAGATTGAATCTTTCCTACATTTGTTTTTTATATTTGCATCACAATAATAAATACAATTAAATCTTTTAAAAATGTTTTGATTTCATTGTACTTTATAGTAAATATGTAGAATTGCTGTTATTCATTTTAATTTGCTATCTAGTTTACCTTATTAACTTAGAAGTCAAAGAACAAAAATCAGCGTTATATTTTCAAATTTTCCTAGGACTAGTTTACCTTGTTTGGTCAGGAAAATTAAAAGCTGACGTTCAGTGAAAATCCTGTCCTTACTTGCAAAATGTAATATACTTCTATCATGTTTGATTAAAAAAAATTCCATAAATAGGATTTTGGTAATTCAGTAGAATTTTGTCAATTCAATCTAACTGATTGAATTGTTGTCATTTCTGAGACAGATCCCCAAATTTATTAGTTTTGGTAAGACAAGTATTGTTTATCTTCATATGTGACATCAACATGTAGATTTTGATGATAGTGATATACTTACAGTAATATCAGATTTATAATGAATTTACCACAAAAATATATTATCGTATTTTTCTTCATAGGGTATTTTCCAAGCTGAAGAATATAGATAAGCAATTCTTTTGAAGGTAAACATATCTTTTGCTAAATATTGTGTAAGAAGAAATTTTGGTACTTTCTGATTATCTGCACTTTTATGGAAACTCACCAGATCATTGGCAAATTGTGAATTGGGGGGAAAAAACATTTCTGTGGTTGTCTTTATGACCTATAGGTATTATTCTATTCATAACTAAATAATAAAAAAGAACAGTTTTTATGAGAAAAACTGTATATTGCTGATTTTTACAGATGCTGCCCATTTAGAGTCTTCAGATTCTATATTTCTGAAGAAATCCATTATTTTCTGTCGTATCAGCTGGTAAATAAAGCAAACAATTGTCCTAAAGAAGATATTACTGTTATCAGTGTCTGACCTGCATTCTAGTACTTTGTTCCAGTCTTTGACATTACATTTTCACAAGGTTTGGTAATTTAAGAAGTACATTAAATTCATGTTTTCTGTTGGTAGGCGAAAAGCACCATATTTCTGAAGAAATCCAACTCTTTCTTTCTTATTAGCCAGTAAATGCTATAGGCCTATTATGATTCATTGTGATGAAAAGTACTTGAGGAGAATGCTGATCAGTGAAATGATATGAAATGTAAAGTATGTAAATCCATATGTACTCAAACGTGTGTACTATTTGCATGTTGCATGTATTACTGCTGTGTGTATACTCAAAAAATATTTCTGATATGTGGCAATTGTAATTAATGCTGAAATGAAGGATGCAGATAATCAGAAAGTACCAACATTTTTTTTTTGTATAAAATATGTAAAGTATAAATTTGTATTTTTTTAAACATGAATACACAGTTTAAAAATATTAATGTTTTTATTGTGTATTTTAAAACATCCTTTGTTATAAAAATAGTAATACAGTTTTATCTGTGAATAATTTTCATTAAAAGCTGTGTGTAAGTTTCACGAACATGGTTATATAATTTTTATATGTAAATTTATATCTATAACTGCATGTATATTATAATATATAATATACTGCAAATGCTAAATCCATTTAGTGCGAATAATATAATATTATATAATTTTAGGCATTCTGTTTATCTTCCTGAAAATATTCTAATATTCATATCTTTCTGAACGGGTCATCCAGGGAATGATGACTAAAAACTCAATTAAAGTAAATTAAATAGGTAGTCGACATTTTAAGAAAAACCGAGTATTCTTGCAGAAGACGACTTACTGAGTTATACCTATCACAATGGGTAACCTAATCCGTATTTGCAGCTAGTTTTTGTAACTTCCTCCCTCACAGAGATAGTGTTTGTATGAATGTGCTATAAGATTGCTTGCTGTTAGTGCTATATTATTTATGTAAGCTCAGTAGTAAAATGACAACTATCAATAAAAATCAAATCAAAACTGGTTAACCAACAGATGTGTTTGGATTGCTTTAATACTAATATATCTTTAAACTTTGTATAAATTAAAGGTATATTAGTATTAAAGCACTCCTAATAATAATCCATTAATACATGTCCTGATTATGGATAACTTCTTATAGTGATTGAAAGGGGAATGATAATCATTATGTGTATGGTTTATCAATTTAAACATGTGCTAAAGCTGATCTCAAAATTCATCGCCTGTAGCTCACCTGTTGTGAGAATATCAAAAATTGTTATCTGTTCCCCAAAATTTTAACTTTATTTTTATTATTCATGTTTTCTCAAATACATTTTCTTTTGCTAGTTTAAACTTTTCTGCTTTGAGAGTATCTAATGAAAATTAAAAATATTCTTATGCAAAGAATCTTCCATAAATATTGATAAGGAATAAGTAGGAAATGCAGCCAATACCTTCCCATAAAACTAAAACTATTTAATGGGTATGCGCGAAATTAATCCAAGAGTTTGGTATAGCATTACTAGACCACACAGTAAAGACATACAAAAGCATATGTATTACGACCATTACACTGTGAATGACCAAATGGATAGGAAGAATGTGTAACAAAAACATCAGATTAATAACAGGTATGATACCCTTCTGCTGAAATGCATATTTGACAATGACGAGGCAAGCTGACAATAATGTTGTTGGTCGCTTGTTGTGGCAGTAACGCCCATTCCTGTAGTAATGCATGTCATAGCTTGGAGGCACACTTTGACCCACTATCTGTTGTCCCAACATGTCACACACATGCTCTATGGGATTCAGGTCCTGTGATCTTACAAGCCATGGCAGATGTGGAGTGGTTTCACTGCACCACTTGAGCTATATGTGGGTGGGCATTATCATTCATAAATATCACATCGGTACACATTGCAGTAATAAAAGGACACACAAGAGGGTGTAGAATTTTGTAGTGATATCGGATATCTGTGATGAAATCACCAGGAATCATGTAGAGGTCGGTGTGGCAGTTTATTACTATCCCAGCCCATACAAGTGAGCCTCCTCCTCAGTAATGGTGTCTTTAGAGGCTGTTTGGTGCTCGTTAGCATGTCCCTGGCTCTTGCCATATCACTGTCCTTTGGGCATCATTCTGGATGTTAAATCAAGACTCATACGTAAAGAGTACATGGCTCCACCTGCTCTGATGTCCATGAGCCCAATTCATCTGCACTCTGACATGCGGTGGCGATAAAAGAACACAAACCACAAGTCATTGGGTGTACAGTCTACCTTCATGCAGTTGACTTGACATAGTTTGGCAGGATATGTGCCGTCCGGCAGCAGCAGCAGAGGGATGCGACGACAGTTATTGCACTAGCTATTAGTGATCTACAGCATCTTGAAAATAGCAACAGGAAGCAATCATCTGCTGTTGCGGTTCCCCTTGGGGGTTGACTCAGGAGAATTCCTGGGAAGTACTGGCTAGAATCTGTACTTATGCAATCTCAACCATGGGGGTATATAATCAATCTTCACAGGACTAGAACCCGAGTTTATTTTCAGGATGGTTCAGGCTTGGCAGGGGCTGTACTGGTATCACTGACGTGTCTGCGCCTTGGCTGTGGCGTTGTTACATCGTAGTTCGTTGCTGGTGGGATAGCACTCAATTCTGTTTAGCAGTAGCCTCAGGTTGGAAGTTGTCCCGCTAGAAGTGTTGCCGTTGCGGTAATCCTCCACCATCCAAACCCAGATCTTCTACAGGAGTTTTAATCCCTTTGGTAACGATTCCACAGCCTATTGATGACGCTATTGCATTACACAGAACTATCATTGCTTGTGAATCGACACATAGGTCCAACATACTGCTTTAAGGCATTGTGGTGTGACTGAGGGATTATATTTTATGTTAATTTTGGTTGTCTATTTGTATCTAGTTACGGAGTCTCTACCTCCTATGTAAATTATGTTTTAATTCCCCTTTTTACATTGGGACCTTTTCTTTAGCATTTGTTGCTTATATTTTGAGTACGAGTGTATTTGTTGCTGCCATAAATCATAACTGGTTTGATAGTCAAAGTTTGAATAGTCAAATTCATTGATTAAATTTTAATCGAGTATACCATCTCATGATTAACATTAATTATGAATTAAAAAAATTAGCCTGTTTTCTATCCAAGTGAATAAAATATGTCATAAATAATTTGACAAAAGGTGTTCTAGCCAAAGGCTGGTACACACATGTCCCAGCTATAGTTAATGGTGGGATACATATACCCCACACATAATAATCCAACTTATTATAAGCACACCTATTATTCTGGAAAACTTTATTATATGAAATAGATTTTACATCATATGGTACAGGGTAATGCATTCTTTGCATAAACCCAACATTACACGTTGGGCAACTCAGTTCTTTTCTCTATGTCCATTTGTATACAACGAGCACAGTGGCATCTTGATTTTTCAACTATTGGAAGATCCCCATTCAGGAGAATTTTTAAACTTTTAATGGGACATACACTTGGGCAAAAAAAAAAAAAAAATGACGCATGAAAGAGTTATCCGAATGGGACGAAAATCGGTAGAAGTGATGTACATGCACAGAAAAACAAATTATTACAGTTTGAGAAAAATTGGATGATTTATTGTAGCATAGACTCCAACTACTACGGATTCTCCGTAGTTTCTACGGAAATTCATGAAAAACTACGAGCTACGAAAAGTATGGAAAAAACTACGGATTTTACAGAAAAGAAACAAGAGCAGGAGAACAGTACGCAAAACGGAACCAACTAATTCATCCGATGATTGGCTGAATACTCGTGTTATCATATATCACGTGTTGAGTGCGTTCCTAGTTTTGAAGAATTAGCCAATCGTAGATCAGTAACTCCAACTGTTAACGACTTATCAATAGTTCCACCAATTGTCTGTCTCCCAGGTTCCTCGCTGATGCGTGTTTAGGCTGCATTTGGGCATTGTGTAGTTTACGGCGAGAGAGCTTAGCGTGTCTTGTGAACTGTGAATCAGGTGAAAGATTTTTAATCATAATGCTGCCTCGAACGAAGAAGCCAAAATTATCAAAGCAGAAGTTTAAAGATTCATATTCTTCAGAATTTCCATGCATTAAAGCGTCCGAAATTTCTGTGAATCAAGCACACTGCAGTGTATGCAACAAAGACTTCTCAGTTGCTTATGGCGGAAAAGATGACTGTAAATGGCATGTGTTTTCTCAAAAGCATATAGAACTTGGCACCGTAAAATCTAAAGAAGTAACAAATTCTTAATAAAAAAGATGAGAAACAGATCCTATAAAAGCCGAATGCTATTTTGTTCGTTTTTTAATTGAACATAATCTACCGCTTTCTGTTTCGGATCATTCCAAAGAGCTTTTCAAAACAATGTTTCCGGATTCTGCCATAGCAAAAAAATTTAGCTGCGGTCATACCAAAACTGCTGCTATTGTGAAAACGCTTGCAGAAAATACTGTTGCTGATATTATAAAATCAGTGTGCAGTACATCATTTTCTGTAAGTACTGATGGAAGTAATGATAACAATGATAACAAACTGTACCCATTGGTTATAACATATACAGTAAAGAAAAGGGAGTGATAATTACTTCATTGATTTCTATTTTAGAATGCATGAATAATACAGGAGAAGATATTTTTAATTGTATAAATGAAAACTTTAAAAACAAAGGTTTAGAATGGAAAAATTGCTTATCATTTTCTTCAGATAATGCTAGTAATATGATTGGAAAGTTTTAAAGGTTGTAGCATCATTTATCAAAATGCATCAACCAAGTATAATCACCCGAGGTTGTCCGTGCCACCTCTTGCATATAGCTGCAAAAAAAAGCTACTGAAAAATTAATTGGCTCAGAAATTAAATGTTGATAATAGATATATATTTTTACTTGGAGAAAAGTTCGAAACGGAAGCATAGCTTCAAAGTTTGCTCAACAAATTTTGGGACAGAATGCAAAATCTCATAAAATTTTGAAATATTGCAGTACGAGATGGTTGTCTCTTTTAGAATCTATAACAAGGATTTTGGAACAGTGGGATGCTGTGATAATTTTTTTTGGAGATAAACCAGATAACAGTGAGAATGAAGGAAAGAGAGATTGCAAAACATTAAAAAAATTTTACAGTCACCGACCACCAAATTGTACTTATTATTTTTGAAAAATACTTTGCCTTTGCTTATAACATTAAATATTAATTTGCAACAACAAGCTCCTTATATGCATAAATTGAAGAAGAAGAACTTTGTTGAACTTTTAAGTGAATTTATTTGTTAGATTCGTAAAAACATCAGTAATTTCTAAAGAAAATGAAGCTGTTACTCTAACATCTATTCCATTTCAGAAGTATTAGTATACAAAAAGAAGAATGAAAAGTTTAGTGATTGGTATAGAAACAAGATATATGTTAAAAAAATGCCAAGTTGAATGAAAGTGAAGTAGTGAAATCATTTTTCGATTCTGTGCGAGCTTTTTTCGTAACTGCATGTTCATATATAATTGATAAATTTCACTGAGTGATCCATTTCTAAAAATGCTGAAGTTGCTGACATCAACTTGAGAACTGAAGTCTCATTTTCATCTGTTCTTTACTTGATGAATACTTTTCCATCCATTATTGATGAAAATGAAAATGTCTTAATCAAGTAGAAATTGAATTTTCATGTATCAAGTAGATGATTTGAAAGAAATTGTAGATTTGCGTATTGATATAGCATGGGGAGAAATTGCCAAATTAAAAAATATGAATGGGTGTATTAAATACAAAGTATTGCTTTCTGTAATGCTTGCTGTCTTAATAATACCTCATTCAAATGCAGCTTGCAAAAGAATTTTTCTATTGTTAAAAAAATCAGACGGAATTTCGACCAAATTTAGGTCTTAAAAAACAGTTTTGATTGAAAAAAAAATATGCAGGCAAATGAAGAACTGTGTTATAAAAAAAACATTCTCAAAATCAGAACTTAAGCTTGCTAAGCATGCTACATATAAATCTTTGCATTCATAAATTATGCGTATTTTGTTAATACTTATATGTAACATTCTTGGTTATTTAAATTTTATTCCCTGTAGAAATCATATCCAGAATAAAGATATGATTTATAGCTTCTGATTTTTTCTATGATTAGTAGTGATTTTGAAGTACTTTTATTAGTGAATGCTTGAGGAGTTTAAAAAAAATTTCTAATAAATGTGCATATAATTTACAAGGTATATTTTTAATTATTCAGTTTATATGTATATGGATTTTAAATGTAATAAAAATTGATTACAATTAATTATTAATTTAAAATTAATGAATGGTTAATTACAACATACGCTACGCGCACATTTTCAAAGTTGTAAAAATGTCGTTCGCGCGTTGACTACTGACAAGGTTTGCTGAAGGTCGGACTCTATGTTGTAGTGATAGAGCTTAATGAAGTGAAAAAGTCAGTAACGTGTTTGTCCACCTCTGGCCCTTATACAAGCAGTTATTTGGCTTGGCATCGATTGATAGAGGTTGTGGATGCCCTCCTGAGGGATATCGTGCCAAATTCTGTCCAACTGGTGCGTTAGATCATCAACATCTCGAGCTGGTTGGAGGGCCCTTCCCATAATCCTCCAAACGTGCTCAATAGGAGAGAGATCTGGCAAACTTGCTGGTCAAGGTAGAGTTCGGCAAGCAGTAGAAACATGTGCAATGTGGGGGAGGGCATTATCTTGCTGAAATGTAAGCCGAGGATGGTGTGACATGAAGGGCAACACAACGGGCCTTAGAACTTCGTCGACGTACCGCTGTGCTGTAAGGTTGCGACGGATGACAACCAAAGGAGGCCTACTATGAAATGAAATGACACCTCAGACCATCACTCCTGGTTGTCGGCCTGTCTGCCGGAAGACAGATTGGTATCACACCGCTGTCCGGGGCGTCTCCAGACTCGCCTTCACTGGTCATTGGGGCTTAGTTCAAAGCGGGACTCATCACTGAAGACTATTCTTCTCCAATCAGTGACATTCCAGTGCGAATGAGCCCGACACCACTGCAGACAGGCTTGACATTGTACAGAGGTCAATGGTAGTCGGTGCAAGGTGTGTCATGACCTCAGCCCCCTTTCTGTGAGCCGTCTATGAATGGTCCTTGCGGTCACTGAAGCACTAGTTGCACATGCAATCGATGATATTGATGCATCTGGGGCAGTGAGTGCCGCTCTGACGATTGCTCGTTCTTCACGTTCTATCGTTTCTCTAGGCGTACCGCTTCCTTCTTGATGCTGTGTGCGGCCATGGTTCACCCATTCCTGCCAACATCGTCTAATAGTGGCATCACTCCTGATCAAATGTCGAGCTATTTGCCAATAAGACCAACTGGCTTCATTGAGCCCAACTACATGACCTCTCTCAAATTCTGACATCTGCGCATATTGTTCGCGCACATGTATGCGAGGCATAGTTACTGTCTACCAGAGTACACGGAATGAAATTCGTGAAGAATTGATGACCTGGAATCATAATTTCTCTTAAATATCTTGCCAGTCGTGCAGATCAGATGCGCTGTAGTGGCAACTGTTCATTCATTGACAATCAAAATGTAAAATTTTTCATTTTCTGTTGAAAATTGTATGCATATCAATTTGTGTCCAATTTGCTTTATATCTTCTCGGTACGTCGTTTTTTTTTTGTAAGAGTGAATATGTCCTGTTAGTAGTCAAAGCCTAATATGGCAGTTTGCGGTTCACTGGCTAATATGGCAGTTTAAAGAGAACTTAGCCCATGTTTATGCTGTCAGTCTTAACTTCAAATTATTTGCATACTACTGTGCTCTGCATTGTATGTAAGGTATTTATTTGCATGTTTCTTGTATGTTGTCTTAATTTTCACAAATAACAGTGTATAAATATATGGTATTGGCACTTTGGATATAAATATATACCCAAAGTGCTTTGTGTGTGTTTGAATTTCATAAAGTTTGTTAAATTATAATTTTTATATGTGCATAAATTGTATTAAATTTTAAAATTATTCCTAATCTGAGAGAAAGAGAAGTAGAATTTTTTAATAAGTAAAAACCTGTTAAACATTAAAATATTTTTCTTTTTTTTTTTTAAAAAAAAAGGAAATAGATCAGTCAAAATTAGTTTATAAGTATTTGCAGTAATAGTAATACATTGTTTTGGGAGAAAGGATGACTTAGTTTTTTAATGTTTTAGGAAATTAAAATGAATATATCTAATTCTTATTTATTTGTTCACTTTTTAGGTATATACTGTAGAAAATCAATTACTCAAGATATTAATGTGTTTTTATTTTTAAAATGTAAACCTATAATCCTGATAGGATGAATACCTAAATGTTTTTATGGACTAAAACACATTCCTGAAACACCAAATTTCTTGAAAGTATGAGAATTTTTATTATATTAAATGTAAAACTTAGATGATGTTTATATTAAGGGAGTTTATACCTTTTTTTCCCTCTCTTTGTTAGATGAAATGTATTCAATTTCATTTTTGATTTTCTTGTTTTTAGAGCAATTATAATTATTCAAGAATATTTACTAGTCATAATTCTAATTCATTTATTTTTTGCACAAATAATTTGTAGTTCATATTTAAGCTTTTATGAATTGTCACAGTATAAAGAAATGTAACCTGTAGTTGCTTCATAAAGACATACTCTGGAATAATTTTTTTTTTTTTTAATGTACTTAAAAGAAAAATCTCTGTTAAACAGAATTTACTTACAAGTTTTATACTGTGCACAAAGTATTGTTTAAAAATTTTGCAACCTGATTTTACTGAAACTATATGATTTAGATATTTATAATTTAAATAACATCTGCAATTCTTATGAACTTTATATACAGAGTATGTTACTAAATAAATAGAAAGCAACATTTAATAAAATTTTGTTTAATTATTGAGATTTGTACTCAATCATGCAAAAAAAAAATTACATCGAATGAAAATAAAAAATATTATTTATATATACATACACTTGAAAATATATTTATTAACAGTGCATTAGTATGAAAATTTGATAAAAATGTTAAACCTTATATTTTTATAAGTATCTGATGAAAGTATAAGTATGGATTCATATTTATCAGTGAAATACTTAATTGTAATTCCAAAATATAAATAAAGGCTACATAAATAATAAGAGAATTATTCTGAATATATACAGGAAGGATGTGCTTTATGTAAATTCCCAAAAAGAACATGTCTGATAGTTTCATACTTCAAACTAGTATTCAAAATTAGAGCAATAAGAAAGATAAGCTCATTTACAAGAAGTAATATAGGTGAAAGCTATTAAATTTCACTTTTTTGAGGGGAACATAATGCATATTTTATATTTTTTGTAATAGTAATGTAAAAGAAATTTTAGATTTGGGTTGTCAAATACAGTAATAAAATACAGATTCACTAGAGTAGAAGGCTGATATTTCTGTTTAATAAAAACATACCTCTGATAAATTCAGGACACTGAAGATGTGAGAGATCTGTGCAAAATTATATTTAACATGTTTGGTAATGGCCCAAAAATAATAAACAGTATAGATTATACATTTAGTTATATCAAATATCCCAGCATATGATGCATCAAAAAGGATGCGAATAAATAGAATGAGTTGCCTCAGACATAATTTCTCTAAAAGAATTTAAATGGAATATATTTGTTAGATCAATCATGGATTAACAAATTGCTGTGTTCAGAATGAACCAGATACTGAAAGAATATTCATTTAGTTAAAGGTGCAGTTGATTGAATGAATGTATTCAGGAATGTAACCAATTTAAATCTGGTAAAATAATGGGAAGGAATGTATCAATAACTGCATACCTTTACATACAATTTAAAGAAGAATTAATTTAAATATTGAAATGACAACAAGAATTTTATTCATCATGTTTGAGACATTTTAAGAAGATATATTAGTGTATTTCTTTTTATAAATACTTCGAAACTGTTTTGGAGTCTCCCAAAGCATATAATGTCAGATCTGAGAAGCAAAGTATTGTTATTCATAAGAGTAATTTCATAGAGAAATTTTAGTCTTATAGCTGGTTTTAGTGAGACAACACTATTTGTATTTCAAAAGTTTTTTCTGCCACCACTTATATTCATTTGTGTATATATAGATACCATATTAGTAACATATTAAAGTTCGTAATGTAACATGTTTTTTAAAATTATTTTATATTGTTTTAATTTTGAATACTAGTACAGGTGCATGATAAAAGATTTTTTGATACTAAGTACAGTATAAAAGATATCATCAAATACATTTTGCTTAGTATGTAGAAGAATTAAGTAAAAAAATTTGGCATTTATTTTTGCTGTTAAAGTATAATTTTATTTATAATATGAAAAACCACCATTCACTGACACATTTCACAATCAGAATTTCATGCTTAGTGGTGATTGTGCCCACTTTTCTCTCGGCTGTTCAATTTGCAATATTAGATTAAATAAAATACAGTTTTCATCAGTTTACACAGCTTTAGAATATAGAATTTATAAATATGGTACAAGTTCATATACATGTCATTGTGGAAAGAATAAGTCAATTCTAGCTTAGGCAAATATGTTTCTTATTTTAAATGCAAAATTGTAATGTTCTTTAATTGAGAATGCACAGTTCTATAGAAAATTATATTTTTCTTGGGGAGGGTCATTGTTATTGTACATGGCTATAAACATAAACAAAGCCACCTGTGAATAGGAACAATAAGCTCAAGGACATAACATTAAAAAAATCTGGATATTTGAAGTACATCACCCAACATACTCCTAGGATAATAGATATCAAGGGCCAAAGTAAATGACTTAAATCTAAGTCTGTGTTTTGACTAATTGGTGAATTGCTCTGGGCTTGTTCTTGCAGGACTTGAACATGAATTACACATCTGTCTTGTATTCCATAATGATGAAGTGTTAGATTATCTCGTAGAAGTTGTCCACTAAAAATGAGGCGAACTATTTTATTGCTTGCTAAATCACCTGGAAAATGGGTTCTAAAAGATGAACAAAAGTTTTTGTAAGTAGCTATAAAATATTACAAAGGTATTTCAGTAAATATCCAATAAAAATATTATTTCAAGAAAATTTGAATTCTTATAAAAAATTAGAACATATAATCTCTATTAAGAATTCACTGTATATATATTTTAATTGTTTAATATTTCATTGTGAAAAGCATTTTATAAGACACTAAATAAACTTAATGCAAGCACTATTGTAGTCATGCACAATACAAATATGTGTAAATATTTTTCTTCCATTCCACTCTAAAAATAAAGGATAAATACATCAAATATTTATAAAAATTAAATGGCAAAAATAATAAAAACTGTATACAGATGGAAAAAATACCAATATTTGTTTTGGAAATTTTGGTATCTAAATCGTGTGATGATGATGTTTCATGTATGCAAACAGATTGCTTTTATGGTACTGTTTTCAGAAAAGCATCTGTGTTTGTGGAAAATCCTTCTGTAAAATATTTTAAAAGGTGTCCCAGATAAATAATATGCTGGATTGTCCAAGACAGCAAGCAACTGGCTGGATGGAAATAGGACTGTTACAAGTTAAGCTAGTAATGTGATTAAATATCAGTTACAGTATCTTTCTCAGACTAAATAATTCAGACTCTTCATTAAATATCAGCACTTGTATAACATTAAGGAATATATAGGATCAGCACATGTGCAGCGTTAAGATGACCAGATCAAGATTGTTAATTGGGGACATCTTTTTCTGAAGACCATTTCTTGATTCTTCCTGTTAGAAAACAGCGAGGCACAGTGGTGCCTCACTTTGTTGCCAATCATTTTGTAGTCTCAAGAAGACAAATGACACCTTATACCGTAAGGATGAGACCACAGATTATTTGCTGATGGCAGTGGTGCTCTTAATAAATGAATCCAGATACTCTCTAGAATGTGGCTCACATCATGCTAGAATAAGAGTGAACCAAGAACACAATATATCCAATTGAAAATTGTTGGAAAACTCATTTACAAAGGTGGCAGTATCTTTGTTTACACAGAAAATAAATTTAGGTGGTCATATCTGCCTACGAGTTTCCTTTGAAATTTGTCACAGTTCAGACATACAGGGACATGACAACATTGATTCTTATGTAAAACTTATATATTATTTCAACTGGCAGTTTCCTTTGTTTTTATGAATGATTACTGTCTGTCTTTCCCAAGCCCTTATAAGCATAATTAAAACATAAGCAGAATATTCAGCAAATGGACTGGGTAGCTCAATTAATCAGATTCTAATCTAATCAAGCATATATTAGGCCACATTAAAAGAGATTATGTGCTCTGCCTCCTCCTTAAAGATCCTTAAAGCTGCAAAGGGAAGATCATGATATGTGGCTTTTACTCCAGAATAAAATATCTGACAATTTAACCAATAGCATGGAAAGAAGGTGCTAAAGCCTGCATTTACCCAGAGATGGGTATATTCCATATTGAAATATTTTAATTTATTTGTACAAAAGAATATTTATTATATAAATCATACATTTACCCTAACTATGTATGTTTCTTATGTACTTATGGGGCAAAATATTAATTTTCTTCCATTAGGTACAATCTTTGTAATACAATAAATCATGTAATACTTTTTCAATCCTTTATTTTAAAATTTCAACATCTAAAAATGCATATATTATAAAGCTTTCAAATTTTCACCCATTATAAAATAAATTGTTTGCCCCTTTTTTAAAACAAGAATGATCAAAGAGCATTAATTGGGCAATTTTATATATTTTTACTCCATGCTAACCTATATACATAGGTAAGGAGATAATGTTTTTGATTTAAAAATTCAATGGTGAGTTTCCAGTGAATACATAAGAATTAGAATCCCCACAACAACTCTTGTACTAAATTTTGAAAAAATACCATTTTCCATATCTAAGCTTTCTGTACTCATATATATTATTGATTAGATTTTAGGTAAAACTAGTACTTTATATGAACCTCATAACATTTTTTAGTGGCCAACTGGAAATGGTATTTTAGGCATTTTACTTGAAGCCCATAATGGTTTTCTTATTAAAATATAATCCAAAACTTTTCCATTTTTAAGTATTTAAGTACTTTTGTTGTATCAGTAGGAACTAGATATTAGATTTGGTCTTAAATGATAAACCAGAAGTCATACTTTGCTTGAGGCTCTGAAGAGGTTTTTGTGAAAAATTTATTTTGAAATAATCAAAAAATTTCTCAAAATTATTTAAATATGTATGTGATAGAGAAAAACATACTAAACATTAAATGCATTCTTAGAATTATGCCTAATGCAACAAGAATAAGCTCATTATATAGATGAGCTCTTGTTATGAAGCAATTAAATGCATTAGCCTCAATTTTGTGTCCATTTCACTCTTGTGTCAAATCCCTTTTTAAATAAAAGGATGCTGCTACAAAATGTTTTTGCTATGTGCTGTTTTTAAAGAAATAATGCAGCAATTAGTATAGAAAATGTAAAAAAAAAAAAAAAAAAAAAAAAAAAAAAAAAAAAAAAAAAAAAAAAAAAAAAAAAAAAAAAACAGCAACATTTAACAAACACTCTATTGGGAATTCCAAAGATATGCTGCTTTTAAAGATTTTGTTGTTAAATATTATGTGGTTAAGTGCAAAGAAAGTGATGTTTAATAAATAGAGCTAAAAGGACAAATAAAATGGGAATCAACAGGAGCAACAATCAAGATCGGCTGCTCAATGTGATAAAAGATCGCCAAGGTTTGATCCACCAGGCAGACTTACTACGAACATGAGAAAACATAGAATAACACATATTAGTGGTAATGGGAGAATTAAAAACCCGCGAAGGGCCTGTAAAGTCTGCACTGCCGCCAAGAAAAGAAGTTCAACTGCATACATGTGTTCTTCCTGCAACGTTTCTCTGCATGTTGGAAAATGTTTTCAGAATTATCATACTAAAAAGAACTGTGGATCCTAGGAGTTAAATTTTTTAAATAAAACATTTTAGTACTAATTAAAAAATATAATTGGAATAGAAATAGCATAACAGTTATTTTAGTGCTTTCTTCAATAATAATTATATACCAACTACTTATGTTTCGAAAAATTACGTAAATACCACCGTTGGCGAGCAGTGGAACCTATGTGAACCGGTGGCAGCGTAACCGCGCTTCGATAAATGCGCAGCCCGCAAAGTGTTAATGGGCTTTTTCACAACAAACTAAATTTTTAACTACATGCAATTAAAATTTAATTACCTTCTCTTGGTTCTTCTGAACATTCCATACTATTTATTTCTACTTACATTTATATATTAGTAATAACTTTCTGTACATTTAATATGTTGTACAAACACTGCTTGCTAATTTTGGTAATGCTTCACATAAAATTAAATAAATTTCACATCTGAGAGCCCAAATAGCTCAATATTTGATAGCTAGTATGTGGCCAATATGATATCTTTATATTTACTAGAACTTTAAATATAGATTTTTGATGTTTACAAAAATTTTAATTTTAACTTGTATATCAGGTCTGTTAAAAAAAGTTCCATAACTTTAATAGTGTGCTAAAGTGATTTAACAGCTATATCTGGCAGTTGACATTGCATATCAGTAATTTTAATAAGATTCTTCTTACTGCTACACATTTAAATTTTGATTAATCATTGTATTAGGTCGCTTTGTTAATTTTATGTTGTTTCTATTCTGCGATTTTCAAAATCAACCAATTTCATGAAGAGCATATCAATATAAAATTTTGCATTAAACTCTGAAAGAAATTTAAAGAAACCTATCAAATTTGAAATAAATTTTTACAAATCACCATTAAATATTTATATGCAGTTATGAATGGCTTAGGTAATTCAAAAATGATTAACAATCAACCAATGGTTTCTATTTATGGTATCTATCAACTGATGAGGCTGAAATTTGTAAAATCATGCATTCAAATCGGCAATTTATTATATAAAAAAGCATTGAAGATTGCATTTCTATTGGATCATGTCATCACATCTTGACTGAGAAACTGGAATGCATTGATTGCTACAAAATTCATCCCTCATCTGCTGGCTCAGGATCAGAAAGACAGTTCAGCAAGAACTTAAGAATTGTGCAAACAAGAACAAAGATTTCATAAAACGAATAATTACTAGCATTGAAATAAGGGCTTATGACTTTGATATTGAAACAAAAGACCAATCTTCCTATGGGTTAGAAAAGAAACTCATGGGAAGATCAATCTTCCTATGGGTTAGGAAAGAAACCCATGGCCAAGAGTATGACAGATCAGATCAGAAGTCAAAATGATGTTGTCTTTTTTTGACATTGAGGGTGTTATTCACCACAAATTTTTGCTGGAAGGGCAAATAGTGTGGTCTTGTCTTGAAATGTTGAAAAACTAAGAAAAAACTTAACTGTGAATAAGTAAATCTTTTTTTTTTTTATAATATGCAAATGCATCACTTTTAATTCATCATTTCTGCACCAAAACAGAGACAATATGAGCCTCTGTATTCTCCTAACCTTTTCCTACACACTTTTTCCAGATCTTGGATTAACTATGGGATTCATACATGAAATGGAAGCAACACTGGGAATGATGCATCAGTCAATGAGGAAATGGTGCAGTTGAATAATCCATAAATCCATGAAAAAATAAAGTTCAGAAGTATTTTGAACATATCTCATTTGATGTCATATGACACAGACTTCATATGATGACATTTGTATTATATATTTAACTAACAATAGCAAAAAGATATAAATCAATTGCCGAGCCTTTTCTAAAATGGCCAAACTAAGCAGCACTGCTGCGCAGCAAACATGCCTGCAAAGTTGTTGAATGTGCCAGATTACTGGACTTCTATGGTGCTAAGTTTACAACACAACTATTCAGCTAAAAGAATGAAATCAAATCATGATTTACGTAAAGATAACTATATTTTCTAATGAATCAAGCTATGATTATTACATGATTACAGATAAATAGTAAAAATAATAGCTAACTAATAATAGTAGAAATTTTCTTTGATAACAAAATTCATTCATAAAATATACAGAAAAATTTTGTTACAACTCGTTTTAAACTATTATATATTTTTTGCATACAATAATTATAGTAATTTTGATAGGATTTTATAGCAATAATTTTTAATCAAAGTTAATAGTGAAACAATGCAACGTGTAAGAAATAGAGTTTAGGTCAGATAATTACAACTGCAGTTTATATTCCTTATGTCATAATTACTGAAAGAACTTTATTTTGAATTTTTCGCTCCCAAAAATAAAAATTCTTCCACTGTTTTGCATTTAAAGATTCCAAATTACATATTCATATTTTTGTTAGTTAATCAAAAATGTTTATTATTTACTTCTCGGTAGAAAAAATTTTGTGTAACACACTTATGAAATATTTACCTCTCAAACTTCATAATTATTACTTTTTTAAACACATTTTAGTCTCAAAGATATGCCAATTATTTAAGTATCCAAATATTTTTAAATAGGTCATCTTTCTAGACATTCTAAATGTGCAAAATGCATACTTTGTTTTTTTTCTGTATTCTCCAGACAGATTTAAATCATATACCTTTTAAAATCTCCTATTTGTACTGTGGGATCTGATCTTACTATTCTTTCTGTATCATCTAAATATTTCAGGCGTATTCGAATTTCTCTGGACTCTGAGGAAGCTGTTTCAGTAGAAATTTCCTCTGGAGGTGCAGAAGGCAAATCAGAACATGGAAGATCCGGATAAATTCCTGCTGTTTCTGTGTTTTCTGAGCTACTTTGTTTTTCTGTATTTTTATCCTCTGTGTCTGTTCCTTGTTCACTTTTATCTCTAGTAACTTCTGAAACATGATTGGCTGTTGAAGCAGTCATCTCTGTAGCTATATTTACCTCTGTGATATCATTTTCTTGGGAACTTTCTTCATTTCCAGATTCTGATTCATTGGTATTCTGGGAGGAAAGTAATGAAAAGTTAATATACTGCAATCAGATTTTTATAGTCAGATTTTCAGTTTTAACATTTGAAGCAGTTTGAATTTAAATAGTTATGACAGGCATACTAGTTTAAATATTAATTCATAGAAATTCAAGATACTATTAAAATATAAAAATCATATATTTAATATGAACTGTTCAAAGCTAAATAGTGGAGACGGCATTTGCTGACATTACTCCACCATAAATTAAAACCACACAGAGAGTTTTCCACTTATTTAATAAAAGGAGCATAGTGGTTTATTACTCTAGTGAAGGGGTTCCCAACCCTATGCCCATGGACGCCATGGCGCCCACCAATCATTTAACATGTGCCCGTCACTGTGGGATCACAATAAAAATGTTTTAGTTTTCAATAAAATTCTATATGAAAGTTTTCTCATTTTATATTTATTTGTCACAGAAATTGCATCCAACATAGATACCAGTGCAAAGCGAAATGCAATTGATCTCTTTTGTTATGTGCATGTATTATTAACTCTCCAACTATAAATTTACCTTGAAAAAGCAAATGGTGCCCACTATCCAAAAGATATTCTAGAATGTGCTTTAAGGAGGAAAAAGGTTGGGATCCCCTGCTCTAGTGGTTCCACTAATTGATTTAGGTAGTACCAGTTTGAAATATCATCTTAACCATAAATCTAGCATTCTTTTTACAGCAATTAGGTTGCCTTTTTATGTGTTTCTTCATTTTTTTCCTTTTTTGTAAACATTTGTCCATTTAAACAAATATTTCAAAAATCCTGATTGCAGCCTACATAATCTTTTCCCAGGCACTGACTTGAAGAATAGCACATGATTGATATGTGCCATGATAGCTTTGATCCCTTCAGAGACGTGGCTAAGGTGTTAAGCGCCCGGGAACACCTAAGGATTTTGCGCCCTTTTCTGTGTTCCAAGAATGGAAAACATTTCATTCTGAAATGTGTACCATCAATTTGGCGCCCCTTGGATGCTGCGCCTGGGGACGGATGTCCCCCCTTGCCCCACCCTAGCTACGCCACTGGATCCCTTTTAAGTAGTAGAAGTTGATAAAAAGTGTACTGAGCAGAATATGTCGGTGTTTGGAATGGTGCTTGAGCCTATAGGCTGCCATGCATGGGCAGTCGAGAATGTTATGTAGAGCATCTGCCTGACTTCCCGTTGCCCAGAAGGGCAGGTAACATTTCTTTTTAGGAACTTTTTAGGAGTAAGCTAAAACATTTGCCATGATTGGAGTAAGCTTGTAACAAGAAGTGGTCAGCCTTGATCCTTTTGAGACTAATCTTTTGGAAGATGTCTACGTGAAACATGCTGTGTCATCTTCATTCCAGTTGTCCTGTTAGATTTGTATAAAAGTGTCTTTTATGAGCTTTTCGGCTATACCTCCCGAGGCTGGACCCTCTATCGGTAATGATGTTGCCAGCTATTGTATGTGAAGATATGAAATTTACTTATTGAAATGATAATACTTGATTTCATGTCTTTAGTTACGGACAGTTTACGTTTAGTTATGGACAGGAGGAAAAAATTAAAGGACTCAGTTACTTGTGTAAGGAAAAACACACAAAGGTTAAATGCTTTTTTCTTTTCTCTCTCAGTTTTGAATGAAAGGAGATAAAATTTCAGAATATTCCTCCCCTTTATCTTCTCAAAGAGACTTTGAGTCAACCTAAATGAATTGATATTTCTCCAAAATTACTGGATAACAATAAAGAGAAAAATCTAAACCAATATGTTTTCAGATGATCTAAAATAGAACAAAATTTTATTAACTTAATCCTTTTTAAAAAGTAACTTATTTTTAGCTATAACAAAAAGTTTATGGAAAATGTTTGCAAAGCAGATCTGTTTGAAATGTAAACATTATTACCTAGTCACCTTCCAAGTACAGTAGCCGGTACTTTTCCGTTTTGCCGGCGCAAACGATAAAGTCGCCAATAATGGTACAACTACTGCCAAAGGGAATAGCTTCGCTGGTAACCTTTTACACTTCATTTTCAAAACAAGTTGCAGCCATTTCTTACCAGATTGATTGTTTCTTTCAATACTGGCATACAACTGCATAGAATATTTACAAAGATAATCAAATTTTATGCCCCAAGAGCATTCGCGGTAATTAAGTCAATTAGGATGCAATTTCACCACTCACCCGAAGGCGAAAATATAGAAATGCAAAATCAAGTGTTAAATTTATCAATTGTAATGAGATGCACTAGCGAAGTAAAGCACTACGGTTTTATATAACTTCTCAGTAAGCTATTCGTACGAATTGAAATAATTCTTGCATTTAAACTTGTATTCAAAATTAAGATTTAACTTCAAATTAATGTAGATAATTACTGAGAGAATTATATTTTTGTATCGTAGTTTACGTGAGATGAGATCACTTGGGGTCACGTTATACGAACCGGCGAATCAGGATGTTGAACCATGATAGCATAGTAAATTCTTAATGTCTTTTTACAAATTTATTGTCTTTATTTATTGGCTTTTTACAAAATTATAAACCATATTAAAATGTTTATGCCTTCAAAAATAAAAATTTCTTAGAACTAACATTTGTTAATACTTTTTATGTGTATACTGTATGTTGTCGCCGACAAAGTCAGATTGGCGAGATTTGCGCCGGCGAAATGGAAAAGTACCCAGTAGCCTAACTGGAAAACTCAAGTAATGGAATATTTTTTAATTTTAGAACTTTTTTTCCATACAATTGAGCAAATAAGATATTTGTACCTTTCTACTATAAAGTATAAATAGAACTACGATCCAAATGAAACAAACCATCGCCAAGCAATGCAGTTTAGTAGATTAAGCGTGACATAACATTTCAGCTTCATATAATTAATTCTCAATAAGCCAGTTTAAGTTCGATAATAAATTATATAAGTTAACTATATCGTTTATTATCTAACTGTTGCTTATCTGTTTTTCAGTTGCATTTTGTAACAAAATTATTAAAATTTGGGATTTATCTTTGTGCATGTATTTTCAAATTTAAGGGATTCTGACATCAAGAGAAGTACAACTTATTGAAAATGGATAAACACTAGCTGTGCAATGTGAAAAATTATGACAAGAGAATTACATTTTTTATACATATGTGTTAGCATTTAATTAGTTCCTTTATTAAAAACACATTCCGTCAAACATTAATTGTTAAATACTTGCTTTATTCAGAAACATTACCGTCAACATTACTGCTCAAGAAACATTACAGTTCAAGTTATTATCGTTCTGAAAAAAACTGTTGTTGCCAATCGTGAAAATACATTTTAAATAAAATTAATACGTTGCATTTACATTCGGGCATCCTGACTTAGTTACGACCTTGGAACATTAAGAACTTATATTTAAAAAAATTAAATCTGTAATATTAATGTTTATAGTTCGAAAGTCTTTAGCTGTCATATAGATTCAGCGTCGTTTTCTATTCTTTTTCCGTGTCCTAGTTTTAGTAATATGCGGAGTGTTATCGTTATCCCCAGTAACACTAATGTCATCACCATCATCTTCTTCTGATTCAGCTTGACACTGCCATGACTTTAATTGGCTCACATGAGCTGTCGTACTAAAGAAATGTCCTTTCACCTTCTCTTCTAATCGAGTCACTCTATAGGTATCACTTGGTAAAACTTCTGTAACTACCAAAGGTCCTCGATACTTTTGTTGTGTTTTGGTTGATTATCCAGTTGATTTAGGTACTCTTCTCATAACTACTATTTCTCCTCGTTCGAATGTTAAAGAATTGCCTTTCCTTCTTGTCATAATTTGCTTTCATTTTCATCTGCATATCTTCAATTCTTTTTCTAGCTTCATTCTGTAAGCTTACTGGATTCTCCCATTCATTTGTGTCGTCATCTGTAATCATCCTCATCAATCCGTCGTTAAATTTTTGGTGAAATAACCATGAAGCATTTCGAAAAGGAGTTTTATTTGTAGTCTTATTTATCATACTGTTTAGATTTCTTTCGCAATTCCTTAATCTTTTTGTCCCAGTCCCTCTGATTCGGACTTTCCATACGCGTTTTAATCGTAGTAACCAAAATTGTTCGATTTGCTCTTTCCACCATTCCATTACCACTTGGATGTTGAGTTGAATTGAGTGTATGACTGATTCCATTATTTTGACAGTACTCTCGAAATTCCTTCCCTGTGAAACATGTTCCTCTATCGCTGATAATTTTTTCTGGTAACCCAAAATCATCTACAAAACTCTTCAATGCAACTAACACATACTTGGTTGCAGTACTTTTCATAGGATATAAGCGTGTAAATCTTGTAAAATTATCAATTATTACAAATAATTCTGTATTTCTTCTTGAACTTTTTACGAATGGTCCTAAATGATCTATATGTATAATTGCAAAAGGTCTTCTACCAGGTCTAATTGGATGCAGTACTCCTTGTTTCTTACCACTAGGCCATTTTTTTTTACTAGGCATTCGAAACACATCGAAATGTGACGCATAACATATCGTTTCATTCCTTTAAACCAGTATGATTCCTTGATTTTGGCAACAGTTCTGTCTGCTGAAAAATGTCCCAAAAGATCATGAAATTTTACTACAATACCTTTTCTCATCGATTTAGGTATGACATATAACAATTTCTCCTTTTCTTTGATCTTTCACTTTACGAAACAATCGATTATTCTTCAAGACGTAATTTTCAGTTACGTATTTCTCTGCATTCGTTCTATATCATTATCTTTTTCTTTAAAATGTCTATTAATTTGCGTAATTCTGGATCTGAATGCTGAATCATAAGAATTTGTTCATCTATCATTAGCGTTTAAACAAACTTCCAAGTTGTTTTTCAATTATAGAGTCTAAAGTTTCTTCTGGCTGATCAACTGGCGATCGGCTCAATGCATCTATGTGACTCATTTTTTTACCTTGTCTGTGCTTTATTTCAAGATTGTATTCCTGGATTAGATTACTCTACCTTGCTATCAGAGGATTTGAAGTTTT